ATTTGCCTTATCATCATCGTGTTCGCTAATTAACCGAGTTGTAGGTGTTATATTGCCATCTCTTCAGAGGCTCCATGGCTGCTTGGGAGAGTTGGATGATGATAAGGAAAGGGGATTTACGATAGATAGTTATGGCCAAAAGAGAATTGGGAATGTTGATCGGGAAAGGGAAGATGAATGTGGGATTTGCTTGGAGCCTTGCACCGAAATGGCGTTACCATTTTTTGTCATGCAATGTGCATCAAATGCTTACCAACTAAACCAGATAAAAGAGTACAATATTAGAATTCCCGGACGGCGCCAACTTGTAGGATCAGCTAACTCGTAGAAGGAAAGTGAGGGGACCAAGACTGGTAGCGTAACTGCCTGCATTCAAGAATCAAGCCCCACACCAACTAAGTCATCAATGTGAATAGTATTTCCCATGCTTTTCTTTTTGCCCTCCCGATTTCAGGTTTTGACTTTATTAGTCTGGATCGACTCGCATCGCACAGTTAATTATGATGAGTGAGTCATCTAAAGAAATTATTTTACATACTCAGGGATACGAACTCAATACTTATTTAAACGATATTAAATTACCTATCACTGGAATCAATCATGTGGCCATTATTACCATGCTTTTCATTAGTATTGTATATAAAATAAAATTGAAGGGAGCACACATAAGGTTAAGCTTAATGTATGTATGATATACTATCATCTCTCATCCATAGGTATAGGTAGGGATGGGCACCGGATTTGAACCCGATGGGTTCCGCCCTGATTCGACTCAATTGGGTTGAAGTTTTTTAAAAGAAATTTGGGTTCGAGTCAGATTTTTAAAGAATAGGTTCGGGTCGGGTAAGATTTGAGTTTAAGGAGAAAAAATAGACCAGACCCAAACTGACAAATAATATAAAAATATATTATATATTTAGGGGTAATTATAATAGTATTTATCTTTATATTATTTTTTAATTAAGTCCCTATTTATTAAATAAAATTAATAATTTTATATTATTTCGGGTTGGGTTGAATTAGAGTCGGGTAGCGTTTCGAGTCGGGTGGAATTACTCTAAACTCGGGTCGGGTTGATTGAAAACCCGACCAATGCCATCCCTAGGTATAGATAGTGTTTTTCCAATAGAATATTTTTTATTATTTCAAAAAATTATTAAGATTTAATATTCAATATTGATAAAAAAATTCTATTGAGTTGTCTTTGTATTAAAAAAAAGAAAGTTGTTTTGTTAGATGTATCGGGTTCGAGTAATTACGTATGTATGTATGATGTATATATATCTTATTAATAAACTAAGAAAATTCTGAATATATACTATTTAGAAGCACTTCAAGTTAATAAAAAAATATTGATCAAAAAATTTAATTGATTCAATTCTCGGTTTAACTAAAAATTGTCAATTAGAGAGCTCATTTGGATGCAAGAAGTTTAGAGGGATTTAATTGATGTTTTGGGAAAACTTTGAGTACCCTTTTGCCATAACATTGTTGAACAGTCAAAACAAGACATGACAAGCTCTCCCAGGTTTCAGTAAACAGTGTCGTGTGAAGTAGTTAACTAGGGTGATTTTCAGCTCATCTGCTTCACCCACTTCTTCCCCTTTTTCATTTATAAAATTCATCACCTTCCCCCAACTGTTTCTGCCTAACAGGATTCTTTAAAGATTCCCCCTTTTTTATTTTTCTGCACTCTTTTTATATTCCCCTTAGATTTTTCACACAAATTTCAAGTTTTTTTCATCGACAATATCCATGGAAACCTGTTTCTTCGATGCTCTAAAGGCTCAGCCTTTCTGGGTCATTTTCCTTTTCACTCTGGGTTCTTTATCAATCTTCAAATCCTCATTTGTTTTCCTCAAATGGGTGTGGGTCAATTTCCTCAGACCGGGAAAAAACCTCAAGAAATACGGCTCATGGGGTCTCATCACTGGTCCAACCGATGGCATAGGCAAAGGTTTCGCCTTTCAGCTGGCTAAGAAAGGGCTTAATCTCGTCTTGGTGGGCCGTAATCCAGATAAGCTCAAAGATGTTTCCGATTCGATCTTGGCCAAGCACGGCAAGATTCAGATCAAAACCGTCGTCGTGGACTTCACCGGCGATCTAGATGAAGGCGTGAAGAGGATAAAAGAGACCATTGAAAGGTTGGATCTTGGGGTTCTGATTAACAACGTTGGGATCTCGTATCCTTACGCAAGATTCTTCCATGAAGTTGATGAAGGGCTGTTGAGGGATTTGATTAAGGTCAATGTTGAAGGTACCACAAAGGTCACTCAAGCTGTTTTGCCTGGGATGGTGAAGAGGAAGAGAGGTGCCATTGTGAATATTGGCTCGGGTGCTGCCATTGTTATACCTTCTGATCCACTTTATGCTGTTTATGCTGCTACTAAGGCGTGAGTGTTTTTTTTTTTACATTTTTGCATTGTTTAAATTTGGGTGTTTGTTGTTTTTAGCAACTGAAGTTGATGGGTATTGTTTTCAGGTATATTGATCAATTCTCTAGGTGCCTTTATGTTGAATACAAGAACAGTGGGATTGATGTTCAGTGTCAGGTAATGTTTGCTAATACATGCCTATGATTTACATTGAAAGGTTGAAACTTGAACCCACAGGTGAGATTCCAGATATGGGTTAGGCTAAATCTGTGTTATTCGGATTCGGGTTTGTGTCGGATGCAAGTATGGTTAGCCTTTTCGAAGTTAATTTCATGTATTTGGAGGTTCTTTATAGTTCGAGTAACATTGGTCTACTGTTTAGTATCGACATCTAAGAGGGAGGGTTATCGCTAAATTGTTTTAGGAAGTCTATCCATTTGTATGATCACAGGATAAAAGTTTGAGCTTCTATGAGTTTGATGTATATAGGTCAGTTGACGAATGCTATAGCTTTACACAGATGAGATGTTGTACCTTAACACTGTCGCAAATATCGAGCCCTGCTGAACTCTCATGCATCGGCTTTCTCTGATCAATCAAGGGGTTTCCTGATGCAGGTTCCATTGTACGTTGCAACAAAAATGGCATCAATCAGAAGATCGTCCTTCTTTGTTCCATCGACAGACGGGTATGCTCGTGCAGCCATGCGGTGGATAGGCTATGAACCTCGTTGCACGCCCCACTGGCCCCATTCCATCCTCTGGGGCTTGGCTCATTCACTGCCGGAGAGCGTGGTTGATGCATGGCGCTTGCGCTTCTGTCTCGGCATTCGAAAGAGGGGACAACTCAAAGATTCTAGGAAGAAGGAATGAAAAGGCTAGGATCAATGTGCCTTTGGCTCCTTTCAACTTCTTGAGATGTACTTTTCCCCCTTCATGTTTATTTTTAAAATTTAATTATGAACTCTTTTGATAATTATGTCTTTAAATTTAATTGTGACACTTCCATTAAAGTATTCAATTAAAATAATATTAATTGTTAGAGGATTCAATTAGAATGTTCTTAAAGATTAGGACTAATTTGAAATCTAGATATAATTTGAGACGTGTGGTATAATCAACTCTTGTACAATAATAATATAGAAAGTGATGATACATATACTTCAGTAGACATTTGACGATACATAGGTATTATATAAACATCACACTAAATATTTTAGGGTAAACTACACATTTAGTACCTAAACTATCATTTTTAATCCCTTTTAATACCTAAATTTTTAATTCTTTCAAAAATATACCCAACGTTTAGTTTTTATTTCATTTTAGTCCCCCATTGTTAAAAACTTAACGCATTTAGTACTTAAACTATCAGTTTTGATTCGTTTTAGTACATAACATTAAATTTTGAACACGGGTACTAAAAAGAAACAAAAACTAAACTTTGGGTATTGTTTTGAAAATATTAAAAGTTTAGGTACTAAAACGGATCAAAACTAATAGCTTAGGTACTCAACACATAATTTACCCAATATTTTATCAAAGTACAAATTAAACAAATTATTAAAAGATAGGTATTGTATTAGATATTTCATTAAAGTACACGTCTCAAATATGATAATTATCTTATTAATTAGTTTTATCAAAACTAAATAATAACAAATCAAATCATCACCCTTGGATCATTTTTCTCTTACGATAGACAACCTCGGTGTCCAACCCGAAACCGTCAACTTTACGTACACGAACCAGCTCCGATCGCCGGAAAATTTTTGTCAACGGCTTAATGCTATACAAATCGTTAGCCGAGTACTTATCGCTGCGTGTCGAAAATGCCACGTGTAAAACGCAGACACCGTCAGGCTTCAACGTCCGTTCGATCTCCGCGGCGAACTTTTGGGGTAAATATCGTGGTTGAAGACGTTGGAGAATTCGAAATCGAACGTGTCGTCGTCGAAAGGTTGATTATGGAAGTCGCCTTTCACGATGAGCGGCGGGCAAGGGACGAGGTCGATGCCGACTGCGTCGGAGACGCCGACTTGTCTGAGCGCCTCCACTTCTTGGCCGACGCGGGCGCCGATGGAGAGAGATTTCGAGGATTTGGATAACAGGTTCTCGTCCATCAGCTCTTTGAAAAATCTGGAGAAGACTTTGACCTTGCGGTCCCAATCACGGGTCGTCCATATCTTCCGTAGTTTCGGGTTCAGGGTTTTGTTGAGTTGGCGTTGGATGTAGGCGTCGTAGGCGGCGTATCCACGTCTAATTTTGAGGTCACCGGAGGAGGCAACGGCGGAAGGAGGAGGGTGATCGACGGCGGTGGCAATGGTAGCAAGTAGGGCTTGGGAGCGGCGATTCTGGAGAAAAACGAAGAGCAAGAGCGATAACGAGATTATTAGAAAGTACTTCAATACAGAAGGTATCGTCTTTGCAATCTTCATGCTTGCATGAAATGAACAAACATAACAAATAACACTATTTTTAGGTCTTTTTTCAATGAAAATTTGCAGAAAAAAACTGCGTAATTTGATCGATTTAATTAGCCATCGATAAACCCTAGCTCGGTCTATGATGAAAATATTGAAAAAAGGCTTATTGTGATTATAATCGAGGAAAATTTGTTATTTCGAAAGTAATTAAAGAGAAAGTTCCATTAACATGGTGCAATACAAAGATCCACACTTTCTCACTGAGATCTCATCCTGTTATGCTGGTTCAAAGCTGGTTGCAGAATATTGTACGCCACCCAAAGCAGCGCCGGAGCCACGACGAAGAGGAGTGTACCCCTATTGTCACTCGAAGCAGCATCGGCCACTATGGCGATTTCACCGGCCGATGCTTCCGGCGTATACATAAACCCCGACGCAGCCAACCCTCCGAGCCCTAACCCAACGATCACTCCCTTGGTGCTCCTCATTCGGTTAAGCTGGTTAAGTGCCGGTTGGAGGATGTTGAAGAGAACCCAAGCGACGGCAGGGATGATGGGTAGCAACAGGGCTAGACCGCGGTTGTCTCCCACGGCTATCTCGGCTATCTGTTGCGCCGCGAAGGCGGGATCACATGAGCTCAGCGTCGAGAAGATAGCTCCGGCAATGGCGGTCCCGGTAAGCGAAGAAGAAGGAGAGGAAAGGTTTGGTTTTGAGATTGAAATGAGAGAGACTGTTTTTGGGCTTGGTTTTGACATCGGATTGGCCATCTTGTTTGAGTTGACGCTTAAGCATTTCGCATTGAGCATCGCCATTGTAGCTGCACTTGCTGCCATTTTTCCCCCTCTGATTGACGATATGGGTTTTGGGGGTATAAATTTAACGTGAAACAAATCAAATGGTGTCCAATTAAAATGAAGATTTCTGGATTCTTTTCTTATCCAGATGATAGGAGAGGTGAGAATAGGGATGGACATGGTCGGGTTGGTTCGGGTTTTTGTTCCACCTGACTCAATCCGACCCGATAATAAGGAGTCCTCCACCCGAGACCCGATCCGATCAATATAAGATTTCATCCGATCCAACCCCAACCCTATATATAAATTAAAAACCCGACCCGACCCTACACGAAATAATAAAAAAATATTTTTATTCAATAAAAACAGTGATTTAATTAAAAATAATAATATATACAAGAGTATTATTGTAATTATTCTTAAATATATAAGATAAAATTATATATATTTTTCGGGTTTGATATTTTTCATTCTAAATCTGAATTCGACCCGACCAGAACAACACATTAAAAAAATTCAATCCGACCTGAACCTGATTTATTAAAAAAAAACACGACCTAATCAGGTCGGATCGGGTCAAAACCCATCTGCTTCGGGGTCCCATGCCATCCCTAGGTGAGATAGTATCGTGCTTTCGTTTCACATTATATCGGACTTTGCAGGCCTACTGTTCGATGAAAAGCCGCAATGGAGCCCAATAGAAAGGCTAAGCTGTCTATTCCCATCTTAAAAGGACGAAGTCCTAAGCCTATCTTTGGGCTTCTCTGTCTGCGTTTCTCTTTGTTTCATTTGTCTTAACTATTGTGGTAACAAGTTGATGTTAGGGATCAATATGGGTTGAGTTTTTAGTCAATTCGATACGACTTAAAAATATATACATTTTTCACTTGAAATTTAATTCGATTCGAATTTAAATAATTTCATTCAATCCGAACCTAATTTAATCTGAAATAAATATATTTATAAAAAATATTAATTTTATTCGATAAAAATAGAAATCTAATTGAAAAATAATATACATAGGGATATTATTGTATTTATCTCTAAATATATAAAGTATAATTACTTTATTTATTGGGTTGGGTATTTTCACCTTAAATCTAAATCCTCTAAAAATCTGACCCAACAACACAAATTTTATTTTTTTTAAACCTGATACAATATGATCATGTCGGATCGAAACCCGTCAGATTCGGGTCACATGTCCATCACTAGTTGATATCTTAACATTTTAGGAAACCACATTAGGGATGGAAATGGTTGGGTTTGTGACCAACCCAACTCTACTCGAGAAAAATATTCATTGCTTTCAAAATTTGACTCGATAAAGGTTACGAAAAACTCTCTTTGGTTTAAAATCTGATCTGTTTTTGGGTTCACACATATATATTTCTCATTTTTATTCGATAAAATATAATTCTAATTAAAAAAAATATAGAGAAGATTATTATTGCAATTATACGTAAAAGTTTAAGGGATAATTGCACTATTATCTCATATCGAGTCACATAAGATATTGTTACCTTAAACCTGAAATCAACTTGACCCAACCTTACTCTCTAGAAAACTTAGCCTAACGTAAACCTGAATTTTCAATAACAAAAAACTCATCTCTATAAGGTTAGTTTGGACCCCACCAAATTCGAGTCTCATGCTCATTCTTAGAACACAATCAAAAAGATCAATATACGTCGTATAGAACGAGAGTGGTGTTTCTAAAGTAAAGATTTGAATCTAAATGTTGCATAGATCATAGAAATACTGTTAAAAAGCAAAATAAAATTCAATCTAACTTAACTCTAAACTTAATCAAGACTCAATGCAACAATCCCAAGCAAAAGGATCCACATGGGAGAAGGAATGTTAAGGGGACAAAGATCACATGGGGAATTGAGAGTTGTACTATTTTAAACACAGAATTAAAGGAAGAAGAAGATGAAGAAGATGAAGAAGAAAGGTCACATGGAGAGAGCGTGGCTTGGCCCGATAAACATGGCCACCATGTTTACGTTACCTGTTTTACGGTCCGTACGGACTTGTCCATGTGCCCACTCCACCGTTAAAGTCCAACGTCCGAACTACCAATTATAAGCTAAGCTAAAATCATTTTTATAATAAAAATATGTGTCTATATACAAATTTATAAGGCTTAAGAGCTACTTTTATCCTTGTAATACATCTAATTTATCATTGTTGTTCTTATAGTATTTTCTTATTAATTTAACTCTCATGATTGCTTAATCGCGTCCGTGTTTAAAATATTTACAATTGTTTAGTTTTTTAAGTTAGGGTTTAGACTTTATGATTTAGGGTTTAATATAATGCAATTAAAAAATTTCGAGGAATGAACTGATGCAAAAATATCATAGGAACGAGAATGGTAAATAACAACATGAATAAAAGTAGACCTTAAGCTAATTTATAATATTTGTAATTTATCTACATGAGTTTTTCGACATTATTAAATGTTATGATAAGTTTATTACATGCACATTATTATGATAAGTTGACCACGCACGTTGTGTGTTAGAAACTACATGCACATGCATGCTTACGTTTCAGATGATGTCCTGGTCGTACAGTTATCTGTTAAACCAACGGCTGCCGATTAAACTAAAGCGCCGAACTGGAATGCTGAGTTCACTCTGTTAATGTTTGGATTTGACTTTGAATGCTTATCATCCTTATAAAAACCTCTCTTATCTCTATCATTTTCCCCAGAATTTTCCTTTTCCTTTCAGTTTCTCCCCTGTGAAAAAACACACACTGAAAAAGGTTGTTTAATGCTTAAAATGGCAACCCCATTGTCCCTCTTTCTTCTTTTCTTGCCTTTCTTGGCTCCATCCTCCATTTTCTCGGCCACTTTTCTAGTTCAAGACACTGAGCAGGTTGTTCAACAAGTCAGCGAGTACGTATTTCTTTTGTATCTCATCGAGCTTTCATCGGTTTGGAAATTTAACACTGATTGTGTTTCTAAATGTGTACCGTGTGTTTAATTTATGCAGGAGCATAAGGAATGCTACTATAGCTAGGAGGAACCTGGGATTTTTCTCGTGTAAAACCGGTAATCCGATCGATGACTGTTGGCGGTGCGATCCTAATTGGGCGAAGAACCGTAAGAGGCTAGCCGACTGCGCCATTGGGTTCGGTAAGCGTGCCATTGGTGGACGGAACGGGAGATATTACGTTGTGACAGATCCGAGTGACAGTGATCCGGTCAACCCTAGACCCGGCACCCTTAGGCATGCTGTTATCCAAGACAGACCGTTGTGGATCGTTTTCGCTCGTGACATGGTGATCAAGTTGAAGGTCGAGTTGTTGATGAACTCGTTTAAGACAATCGATGGCCGAGGCGTCAACGTTCACATCGCTGGGGGGCCGTGCATTACTATACAGTACGTGACCAATATTATAATCCATGGGATTAACATACATGATTGTAAGAGAGGTGGGAATCTTTATGTGAGGGACTCTCCTAGGCATTATGGTTGGAGAACTATATCCGACGGAGACGGCGTGTCGATATTCGGAGGCAGCCACATTTGGGTGGACCATTGCTCGTTGTCTAATTGCAACGACGGACTTATCGACGCCATCCACGGATCGACGGCAATCACCATTTCTAACAATTACATGACCCATCATAACAAAGTCATGTTGTTAGGCCACAGTGACACTTACACGCAAGACAAGAACATGCAGATCACCATTGCCTTCAACCACTTTGGAGAAGGGCTTGTGCAAAGAATGCCTAGGTAAAAACAAAAGACATTATCACCGTCTTCGTGATTATAAACTCTAAACCCTAAACACGAAAATAACGACTGTATTCGATTTTTTGCTCGTGAGCAGATGCAGGCACGGATATTTTCACGTCGTGAACAACGATTATACGCATTGGAAAATGTATGCCATCGACGGAAGTGCTAACCCTACCATCAATAGCCAGGGAAACAGATTTCTTGCACCAGATAATAAGAATAGTAAAGAAGTGACTAAACACGAGGATGCACCAAGGAGAAGATGGAAGAATTGGAATTGGAGGTCAAGTGGGGATTTGATGTTGAACGGAGCGTTCTTCAGACAAACCGGCACCACTGCGTCGTCAGTTTATGCAAAGGCGTCGAGCCTGAGTGCTAGACCGTCTTCTCTCGTCAGCTCACTAACGTCCGGAGCCGGTGTACTGGTTTGCAAGAAGGGGCGAAGCTGCTAGGCATGCATTGGGAACCAATAGCAATAAACACTGTAAAAGATTGAAATAATTGAAACATAGACAGTTGATCAATAGATTCATGTTTCTTGTGTATATTAATCGGCAAGTTCTCTTCCCCCCACCCCCGCCGCCTCTTTTATCGTCTTTTGATGATGTATACGAACTGCAAGCTTTAGTCAGCCTGTTTCTGGAAGAGCCTATCAGCTAACAGAAACAAGAGCCTACCAAAATGTTTGATAAATTGAATTTTCAATTCAACCAAAATGACCATCCAGATCAGGTGGTAGAGCATAAGGTTCTTAATATTGAGATCGTGGAATTGAGTCCCACGAAAGATATTTTATAATTCGGAGGTCTCCTACGGAAGCTGCTCTCAACCTGGTGTTGAGGATAACCTACTATCCTACCTCCCCTTACCCCATTATATATAGGAATAAGGGTTAGCTAATTTTTTTATCGGATTAAGTTTCTAATAATAGGAAGGATTAAGGCTTAAAGAATAAATTATGAAAGTATACAAATCAATTATCACCGACTCCAAACACTCATTAATAAATATTAACGATTTGAGATTTTTTTAGGTAAAAATACTTAAAACATAAATTTAATGTGACTTTTTAACCAACAGTTTTTATCGTTAACTATTATGATACTAACGTGACATTCATAATGTTGATGTGATAATCTACTGTGTTAACATGACAATTCAATGTGGTAGATTAATATAGCATATGACATTACAGATAGATTTAATTGGTAACTCAAACATGACAGATAAATTATCACGTCAACACTATAAACCAAGGAGATGCACTTGACCCTATAGGGGACCAAGTCCAATATATTAAGGGAAGAAGAAAAAATTAAAAAATTTGCATTCCCATTTTATTATAAAAATTAGAATTAAAATTTTTGAACCTCCATTTTTAAATTCCTAGATCCACCACTAGTATAAACCATCACATCAACACCATAAACTAACGCGTAATGTAACGATCAAAGACAAAAACGTTATTTAAAAAACCACATTAGATTTATTTTCTAAATTAGATGACCACGTTAAAAAAATATAATACAAGAACTACGACGATTTTTTTAAAAAAAAAGAACAGGGAATTTTGATGCTTTTTATCTTTTTCTTTTAAAAAAAAAGACATTTAACCAAGTTAACTAAATTGAGACGGCCTTTGATTAGATCAAATAATCAACAATCGTACAAGCCATATCCTCCTGTTATATTTATATTTTTATTACCATGTTTTATTTCCCCCCATATTATGTAATAGAATCATATCGAAAATTATTAAACTTAATTGCACTTAATCTAATGAACTGATCGGGAAGTTGGTACCAAATTTACAATTTCAAAGATAAAACATTGAAGACAAGATAGACACAAAAGTATGGGAAATACTAAAAGGCCCCCTTGGTTTTAGATTTTCATGTTTGGGTCCTAACTTGATGATTCCGGGTGGTAAGAAGAAAAGGGAATATGAAAATCGATACATTGATGATTGAAAGTAGGGACTAAATAAAAGAAATAAGCAACCATTGTCAATAAGATGAGTTCATCATCTTACTTCAACCCGGGGCTTGGCAGTCCCAAAACAAGTTCTCTCAAGTGAACAAATATTGTTCCGGAGCGAACCAAACCAAACAATCGAAATCAAGGTAACCCTTCTGGGTGAATCGATTTCGGAATTATACCTCAGTATTCCGATGGAGAAATGACATCGTCAATTTTCAAAATCATCTTCACAACTTGTGTTGCTAGTAAGATCTGTTGCTGCTTCCCAATCAGAGTCTCAAAGACGTCTTGCTGCCGCATATCGTTAGTCCCAACATCATTGCAGTCTATTCCATAGTGTGGATTGTTATCCTGGAATCGAATACAAGAGAACGAAATTAACGATATACTACATGGTGGAGAGATTATAGAAGATCAAAACTATTATCATACAAATTATAGTTATTACCTTAATTTGCTGAGATTTCACTGCTGATAGTGTTTCGATTGGTTGGAGACCGCTGTTCTCAGCCAGGGCCATGGGTACCGAGTCTAGTGCATCTGCAAATGCCCGGATTGCGTACTGCAGGTGAAAACAAAATTTTGATGTTACACAATTACTACAACAAAAAAGAATGTTAAGGTACTTCGACGATTACATGAGCTTCTTCTTACCTGCTCAACTCCTGGATATTTATCTGCAGCTGCCTCGACAGCAATTGAGCAAGAAATCTCAGCTGATCCACCACCATAGACAATAGCATTGTTGCGAATGAGATTCCTTGCCACGCATAATGCATCATGGATACTGCGCTTTGTCTCCTCTATCATCATCTTGTTCCCTAATGAATCATCAACCACAAAGGACCCAAGCCTTTATGAGATTATATAACTAATCCATATCGATTCAGCTTGCATTGCACGCCTTGGAATATTCTTTTTGTTACTTTTGGCTCAACAACATTATAAAACAAAGTAAATCCTTTCATGGTTCTGTTTTATGATAAACATGAGTGAATGGCCAACCAGTTCTAGATTGATCAAGAATGAAGTTGTCCATAAACAAGAATGAAGAAAATAAATTGCATACCGAGGAAAAAAGGAAGCAAGAGATCTCTTCACATGTCAAAGTGTCGTGTAAGTTTCTTCCTTACAGTTCTCTTCAACCTAGCCATTTTCCCATTTGTTTATTTGGTTTTAAGAGTTGGCTGGTAAAGACATCCATGCTCTAAAACTGTCCAAGAAATTTTTTGGCACTAGATACTATCTCTAAGAATATATCAACAAGTCTTACTATTGAGACTACGCTTGAGCATAACCAAGATACAAAGTCAAATTATGATGACTCATTATCATCAATCAAACATAAACCAAACGGAAGGGACAAGAGTCTACCTCCACGAATAAATATGGTTACAGCCCTTGAATTTGCACAGTGTTCAATGTACAACATTTTATCTTTTGTGGTGCCAAAAGACTTCTCTCTGACCATACCAGCCTAAAAATAGAGTTAAAAAACAAATAAGTGTTTGTTATAAGAGACAGATGCAGTGCCTGGGGAATAACCTGAAATTTTACAATGTAAATACTTCATCAAACCTAAATTGCTAGTCCAAATGAGCAATGCTTTAGTGCTTAAACAAAAAGTGATCAAATGTTAAGTCGTCTCACTTTTGCTTCACCAGTTGTCCTCTATCTATTGAATCAAAACATTTTCCTAAGTAGGAATTTATCAAACACATTTCTAAGCAATGAAACACAGACAAGGAAAAAATGGAGTCAACATACCCTTCCCAGCTTTTCCGGGGTCAACTCCTGGAACCTAGGCACAATCCTTCCACCTATAAAGATAAATATAATTAGATCGCTCATTAGGTTACACGCCATATTAGCAACTAGAAATTTACTTATCATGAATTTGGTTACCATGTGGCCCATGTCTTCAAATGAAAATAAGATACACAGAACAAACCTGTAGCTATCGCTATGAGCTCCAACTCCACACCACCAACCCATCTGACAGCAGGCAAGTTTCGGTTCATTAATAAATGATTTGCCTCATCATCAAAGCCCCATTGACAGATGACCAAAGTTGCACCGACATCCTGCAACAAAATTACTATCAGAAAAGTTGTCTACCCCAAAATTGCAAAGATGACTAACAATTATCCACCTGCTTCCCCTTGTCTCATCAAAGAGAATAATCTAAAGAAATGTGAAAGACCAACCTAAATTGAAAAAGAGACTCCATATGAACACAAATCTGCAGCCATACCTTGCACTTCTGAACCATGTCATCGAAATACTTTTGCTCTTGAAGACGTAAAGTTTGAAACTTTTCCACTGTATCAATCTCCACCTTATGTTTGGTCTTTGGCTTAGGTGGCTCAAACGGGCAAGTTAATATGGCAATTTTTGCATCTTCAATTTGCTTGGGCATCTGTGGATGACTCATGTCCTTATCAACAGTAATTCCATATATTAGTTCAGTATCCTCCAATTTTCCCCCAACTTTCCCCTCGACCTTGATCATATCTAAATTGACATCTTTCCTCTCTAGATCAGCAACAGCAATAACTGCTTTAACAGAAATCTCAGCCAAATGGCGCTTGCATCGGTTCACTCTGTAAAACAATGAAAATGATTACAAACTGGCTTCTCAATACTAACAAGTTTATGAACTGCCAGCTCACAGAAAGAGCTATTTCAATTGAAGCACTGCATAATTCAGATGGTTCATGGTCCTGCATAAACACCCTAGCTGATTTGCGAATATCAAAATAAATCAACACAGATTTTATTTGAGGATCAGTAAGCCCAAAGGACTACTAATCACAATTAAACAATATACTAGCAAGGTAAGGCATTGAACAATCACTTGCACACAGTGTTCTTTCCACACAAAATGATATTACCGCCTGCAATTTGTCTACCAGCTTCCATGACATAATGTGCTAAAGGGAATATTAATGGCACCTTGCACTGATCAAATTATTGTCTTAAGGGAAATCTTTATTCAATTGCAAACTATAATACATGACGAAATATGTAATACAATACAACTATGATTATGTAATCAGATGTGGCAAATCCTATTGGTGGAGACAAGTAGCAAAAATGTAGAGTAGATGGCATTTGCATATTAATTAACCTTCAGACAGAAGGTACCATCTTGAAACAAATTAAACATGATTAACACCTTATAAAAGACAAAACTGAAGCAAAAATAAGTTAGTATAACGCCTATTTAGTTGTGATATGAATGTTTCTAGTCCAGCATTGGGCAGTCTAAGCATTGTGAAGGGCAACAGAAAACGTAAATTACAGCAATAGACCACGAGAAAGAGCTAGGAAACTTACATTTTAGAGGACAAAGTGGTCATGCAAGTTTGAACCAGAGGCTCTATATTTGCTGCTCCAAAATCAAACTTCTGAGATATGTGCACCAAATGTTCAACAGCAATTTTCGAAGCCATTTCATACCCCTCTGCAA